AAGTGAATAAATGCTTTGTTCTGAAAATACAGCATTTGATAACCACAGCAATGTGTGTTTATTTTATTTTTTTATCCAGGAGACAGACTGGTGCATTAATACACAAAATAATTCTACATCCACTCCTGAAGTGTACAGCCTGATGGTCTTGTAGAGTTTGGAACTGGCCTCATCACCAGAAGACTGCATGTTCGTGGATATAGATATATACATCTTCTCATCTGAGACCTTTAACAGATGAGCTCAAATTGGTGGATTTGTAGAGATGAGAAATGAACCTAAAATACTGGTGGATTTGTAGACTCTAGTCCAAAATAGAAGCTTATATATTCATGGATTTGAAGACAATGATCTTCCCTCCACACCAGACCTGTACATAGGGGGCATTGGGGGCAAGGTGAACGTATACATTTCTAACACAATATAAAACCAATAACTTAATTCTTATAAATAGTTAACGCACATTTGCATCTGAAATGGACAAGCAAATGGACACGTAAACATGACAAGTATTCATTCACTCACTCATTTGTAAGCAAGATGAATATGTCTCTTAACAAACAAGGAAAGTGGTAGAGCTCCTACCATCATGATGAGGAGATGGAACCATTTTACAACATATGCACATTTATATAACACAATACATCACATTTAATTTGAAATGTTAACCATATTATCATTTGATACACTTTATTTTTAGTAATAAGAAATTACCTCTTAAAATGTATGTTATGTATGTAATGGTTATCCTCCTATTGATATTAAAATTGATAATTTGTTTTGTAATTCATGGGAACAAACTGATGAGGAACAAAGCGGGTAATTTTCAATACAATCGAACACATTTTTTGTTAATTAGCATCTGTTCCAACTTATGTGAAAAAGTTATTCTGACTTATTGACCTAATGAAACTAAAGTCTCAACACTTTATAATTATAAACAGTCTTATAGTTATAGGTAAATATAGATGTTCATTTAAATTAGGTTGATAACTCAACGGAACCACAACCTATATAGTGCCTTTCTCCTGGCAGGATTTAAAGACATTTAGTCATATTTCCATAAAATTTAGAATTGTTGGTCTTGACGGTCTTGTGGTACGTCTTAAGTATTTTTTTTTTAAATATCAATGTAAGAAGGCTCTCTTTCACTCAGCCTGTGTTCCAGGAGGTGGAGCAGCATGTGTCTCTCAATTTACCCATTGTGGTAAATTCTTGTCAGAGCACTTTATGACAGAAAAATTCATGTTGGAACATAGGGCGAGATAAATTCTTTTAAGTAGCAGGGCTGCTGATTATGTAGTGCTTTGTGTGATTTTAGATCGATTTTAATATATACATGATTTTTTTTTTTTAGCAACCATTGTTACAAATGGAGTATGGGAGTCACATGGTGGATTTTTGACTTGCCTGTTAAGAGCCTTGACATTGATTTTGTACTAGTGGGAGGGGATGGAGCACCTTATACCAGAGACTAAAATAAAGTGCATTGCAGTAGTCTAGACTGGAAGGTGCTAATACATGTATTACTGTTTGAAGATTATCTACGGGAATCAAGTTTTATACTGTATTCTTTAGATAAAAGAATAAGGATGACATTTAGTATTTCAGGGAAAATTTACTGTCAAGTTTCATGAACACAAGCACTTCCAGATGGGCACGTGACTTGTTTCAGTGGGTGAAAATGTTGCTATTTGTCAGTACTAGACCTAAAATGATAAAAAAAGAAAATCCCTCTTAAATCCACCCACGCCTATAAAAGTTTCCACCAACAAGCCATTTATAAATGGGTTGCCTTAGGTAACCCACCAAATCAAATTACTAACCCCTCCACCCGGGTTCGGCCTTAGGCTATTAGGTGCCCTGTGCGAAAAGTCTTCACTGCGCCCTCCCGCCCACCAAGTTGCCTGTATACAGTCAAACACACAGGCACGGCCAGACAGTCACACATACAGTTACAAGCAGACAGTCAGACACGCTCAGTTACAATCAGACAGTCACACACACACACACACACACACACACAGTTACAGGCAGACAGTCACAAATACTCAGTTACAGACAGGCAGTCACAGAGCCAAACACACAGTTAAAGGCAGACAGTCACACACAGTTACAGGCACACAGCCACACACACAGTCACAAGCAGACAGTCACACATACTCCATTACAAGCAGACAGTCATACACACTCGGTTACAGGCATGCAGACACTCATGCATGCTGATAGGTACACTCAGTTAAAGGCAGTCACACATACAGGCACAGGCACACACAATGGCACAGCTACAGTGACACACACAATTGGAGTCACACACAGTTACCGTCACACACACAGGCAGACAGTCACACACACAAGCAGACTGTCACACACAGGCAGAAATTACCACACAGGGAGGGAGTCACACAGACAGACAGTCACACACACACACAGGCCGGCAGACAGTCACACACACAGACAGACAGTCTCACACACACACAGGCAGGCAGACAGCCACACACACAGGCAAACAGTTACACACAGGCAGTCAGACAGTCACACACACACACACAAACACACACACAGGCAAACAGTTACACACAGGCAGTCAGACAGACAGTCTCACATACACACACATACACAGACACACACACGCAGGCAGTCGCACACACACAGGCAGGCAGACACACACACACACACAGGCAGACACACACATAGGCAGGCAGTCATACACACACACTGGCAGGAAGTCATACACACACACTGGCAGGCAGTCACACAAACAAACAGGCAAACAGTCACACACAGGCAAGCAGTCACACACAGGCAGGCAGTCACACACACACACACACACACACACTTACCACTTTCCATTATGGCTGGAAAGGGGAGTGGAAGCAATTGGTTGTTGGGAAAGCAGGGACTCCTTCTTTCTTCCCTCTTCCTGTGCAGCAGTTACCAGGGGCTTCGGGTAGGTATTTGCCCCGCCTCCGCCTTGCGATTAGCCCCGTACCCACTGCTCATTAAGCCCTGCCCCACTGCCTCGATTTTTATACTTTTTTTTTATAGACCCAGGTGGAGAATAATGAAATCCTCCTCCCGGGTAACTGTTTTAGCTCCCCTGAACTCCTGTCACCCGGCCATATGCGAGCTGTGTTGGCCACATGGCGCCCCCTGGTCCATGGGGCCCTGTGCGGCCGCACAGCTTGCACACCCCTAGGGCCCCCACCCCTCACAAAAATATATATGAAACCCTTAACAAAAATATATATGAAACCACAGATATGTCTCTGATACCAGACAAAGGTAGAGCTTAAAAAAGAAAAATGTATATGAACAAAAATTGTCACAGTGCATATAAATGCAAAATGCAAACACATTTACATACATCAATAGACAGACAGACATATAAAACAGAAAACTCTAGAACTCACTGTACTAGCAAAGTCCCAGTCTTTCTGTCCCAGGACAGCATTTGGTAATGAAAACTTAATTCTTTTACATATTTAATTTGCTTTTAAAAATGGATTGCAAAGTTATATAGGTTTCATCCAGGTTATATCCATTTTTCTGGCTTATCTCACATTTTAGATCAGCTCTTCTGAGGAGGGGCAGGGGTGTGCAAGACTTCTAGTTTTATGAAGGGAAATTAATGTTTCAAATAAACTGGCTAAAAATGCACAATGTAATGTAATTATATACAGGTGTTACTGACCTCTTTGTGACAAGGTCAGTTCATCTTTCTGAATCCACACAATTAATTTGAAACATATATTTCATATATAATGCACTCCCTCTAAGTGACATCTACTATCTACATTGTGTTGATTCTCAGCTCTCTCTCCCTGACACCTTATCTGATCCAGTAAGAAAGTACACTTGCCCTTAGGACCAGTGCTGGTTGTAAAAATAACTCTAAACTATTTGGTTTACACACAGGGATTTAAAACATGCTTTAATTACTGTACAACTGCAGGATATTTTCCAGACACTAACAAGATTTAACCTATTGCTTCCTGACACAGTGCGCTCCATAAATCTCCTCTACTGAGTAAATAATTCATGTATTAACTACACACATCACAGTGATTGACACATTTTTTTTACAATGAATCATGCCCACTGGGCATAACATCAAGCCTAATACCAAGGTTTCCTACTAATGCTGAAGTTACGATATGGTATGATATTATGATAAAAGCCTTCTCAGCAATCTGAATCTAATACCAGACAAAGTCTGAACTTAAAGGAGCACTATAAGATCAGGAACACAAACATGTATTCCTGACCCTGTAGGGTTAAAACCACCATCTAGCCCCCCTGTCCCCCTCATGCCTCCCTAAATATAGTAAAACCATACTTGTATTCATGCCTGAAGCTGCAGGTTTTGTTCCTGTTTCCTTTTGACCTGACCACTGCCTGCTGACATCAGCAGAAGTGGTAGCAAGATCCAATCACAATGCTTCCCCATAGGATTGGCTGAGACTGACAAAGAGGCAGATCAGGGGCAGAGCCAGCACAATTCAAACTCAGCCCTGGCCAATCAGCATATCCTCATAGAGATGCATGCAGAGGGTGGAGACACTGAATGTTTTAGGCAGGCAGAAGGATTTGTAACAGCCATCTAAGGAGTGGCCAGTGAAGTTATCGCTATTCTGTAATGTAAACACTGCATTTTCTCTGAAAAGACAGTGTTTACCGCAAAAAGGCTGAAGGTAATGATTCTACTCACCAGAACAAATTCAATAAGCTGTAGTTGTTCTGGTTACTATAGTGTCCCTTTAACCCTCCAGCTCCAGATCTCCGGGTCGCTCAGTGGTATTCGGCTTCTGAAACGGAGTGTCAGGAAGTGCAGATTGACGTCAGGCATGGGTGCCACTGATTGACTAGAGCCAGCTGACGCTCTAAGCCAATCGCTAGTTCCCGGTTCATAAAAATGTTTAACTTTTTTATGAATGGGGAGCTACTGATTGGCTTAAAGTGCTAGCTGACCGCTCTAGCCAATCAGCCACACCCCTAACCAATGGCACTCTGTACTTCCTGACACTCAGTAAATAAAAGACACATAAACACTGAGATTTTTTTTTTTACCTGGGGAGATGAGAAGGTCCCAGGTTCCAAAGCCTTATGATGTGGTGTCCAGAATAAAGTAGGGGGATCACTTCACTTGTCCTTCTTGCTCTAATCTTCTTTTCTTATTCTTCATTTTACACAGTCTTCTTTTTCTTCTGACACTGTCTTCTCTCCTCCGTGGCTTCTTCTGCTCTTTTACCTTTCTGCTACTTTCTGCTTCTTTCACGCCCTTCTGATCCTTTCTCTTTCTGATCCCTTTTTGCTCCTTGCAGACCCATTCTGCGCCTTCTCCTACTTTACCTTTGTGCTCCTTCTGCCCCTTCCAGCTCTTTGCTGCCCCTTTCTGCTCCTTGCTGTCCCTTCCTGCTCATTTCTGTTCCTTCTTTTTCCTCCTCCTTATTCTACTTTACTTTCCTGCTCCTTGCCGCCCTTTCTGCTTCTCTCTGTTCCTTTATGCTCCTTCTCCTACTTTACCTTTGTACTTCTTCTGATTATTTCTGCTCCTTTACCTACCAGCTCCTTCTATCCCTTTCTGCTCCTTTTCCTACTTTACCTTTGCGCTCCTTTTGCCCCTTCCAGCTGCTTTCTACTCTTTGCTGCCCTTTCCAGCTCCTTGCTGGCCATTTCTGCCCCTTCTCCTACTTTACCTTTGTGCTCCTTCTGATTCTTTCTGCTCCTTTACCTTTGTGCTCTTTCTGTCCCTTCCTGCCCCTTTCTTCTCCTGGCAGACCCTTCCTGCTCCTTGCCGCCCCTTCCTGCTTCTTGCTGCCTCTTCCTGCTCCTTGCAGACCCTTCTGCCTCCTTGCAGACCCTTCTTGCTTCTTGCTGCCCCTTCCTGTTCATTTCTGTTCCTTTCTGCTCCTTCTCCTACTTTACCTTTCTGCTCCATCTGTCCCTTCCAGCTCACTGCTGACCTTTTCTGCTCCTTGATGTCCCTTCGTGCTCATTTATGTTCCTTCTTCTTTCTGCTCCTTCGCCTACTTTATCTTCCTGCTCCATGCTGACCCTTCCTGTATGCTGCCCCCATCCCTCACTTACTTGACCTGTAGGCTGCCCCCCCCATGCCTCACTTACCTAATCTGTAGGCTGCCCTCCCATGCCTCCCTTACCAGAGCTGTATGCTGCCCCCTTGCCTCACTTCCCAGATCTGTAGGCTGTCTCCCCATCCCATAATTACCTGATTCCCCTCACTTACCTGATCTGTAGGTTGCCCCCACCATGCCTCTCTTGCCACATCTGTAGGCTTCCCCCCATCCCTCACTTACATGACCTGCAGGCTGCGCCCCATGCCTCACTTACCTGATCTGTAGGCTGTTTTCAGTCAGGAGAGAGAAGCAAAACTCAAACGATATTTAACCCATTCCTTCCCCAAGCACATTGGGCCTCATCTGAAAGGCATTCAAATTCTATTTAGCAACCATTCCTTGCACACATCCCATTAGTTAACCATGTTTTGACAATGACTCAATTAATCCACCACATTAATTGATAATATTTTAACAATAGACAATGAATCATGTCCTCTGGACATGACAATGAGTACTTGCCCTTGTCTTTTGCCATTATAAGCTCATTAAGTACACATACCATAGCAGAGAACTCTTTCAATGTCTTTTCCATGGCGTTTCCTTATATAGAACAGTGGACAAGAGATGCTGTCGGCTGACTAAGTGTAATAAGAATGGTCCACAGGAACTAGGATGGAGGTGATAGCTCACCTGCAATTATATGTTGCTCAGATTTTAAATTTGACTCATTATAATACTTTTCTGCCATGTACGAAACTTGCTTTACATTATTTATAGGCCTATGTGTGTAGTTTATTTAATCAATGTGAAATGATATGCTGTGTTTTATATTGGTAGCTCACAATTGAATTTTTCTCCATGTCTATAAAATGGACATTTTTTCTCAATTATTCTCAAAATTTTCTCATTGTCTATATTCATTTATATCTGCATCCTGTCAATAAACTGTTGGTAGGCTTTTATAATTTGCATCTTATTGCATACGTTGCATTTGGTAATTGTATAGGATAACACTTGGGTCTTGATTCATTCCCCTTACCATCTTTGATTAATTAGCTCTAATGCAGATCCTAGCACATAATGGCTGCTACATTTGTCTGCTTGAAGCCACTGTCATTGCTGCATATAATTCATTCTTTCTTAGAGCACTTTAAGACAATGTTTCAGGGCAGATCTATAGGAATGTCAATACAATCCAGGGCAAGAATGGATATATACTTAATGCAAGATATTTCTAAAGCATTCAACAATTTGCAACTGTGTGTGCACTAAAAATGACATTGAAATATATTTTATATAACTTACTAACTTAATGTGGCTGAAGCTCAATAATAAAGAATTTCACAATTTTAAAGAAAACTGATGTCTTGATTTTTAATTTAATCACATTTTAGAGATTGGTCTTAAATAAGTAACTGAATAAAGACATATCACCATTTTGAGAGGCCCTTCTGTCAGGAAGATTAGGATGTGATATGCTGCTACCCATTGCAAACAAACAAAATCCTATTGTTAGAACGGCAGCACCCCACACAATGTAAGGAGATCAAATAAATATATAGCAGTAGGGTGCACCAAAACAATCTCAAAATTGCTGAAAATGATGTAAAAATAATAAATAGCCTTTAATTAGGATATATATTATAAGAAACATGAGAACAGGACAAATCTCAACTGTCACATGTAACTGCAAGATGTATATCAAAGTAACCGCTATATGATCTGACAATATTACCTGCAACTGCAGTATAAATATAAAGTAGCAATAGTTAGTGCACTATAATAACAAAGATATGCTAACAGGTAAAAAGCAGCCATAAAGCAGATGGGGTAAATAAAAAAGGTGACACCACCTAATTCCATATTCAAATGTCCATCTGTCTGTCTGTCTGTTTTTTTTTTTATCTGTCTATCATATCTATCATATCTGTCTGTCTGTCATCTATCTATCTATCTATCTATCTAATATATCTATATATCATATCTGTCTCACCGTCTGTCTGTATATCTATATATCTCTGTCTGTCTGTCTATCTAATATATCTATATATCATATCTGTCTCACCGTCTGTCTGTGTGTCTGTCTGTATATCTGTCTGTCTGTCTGTCTGTCTGTCTATCTATCTATCTATCTATCTATCTATCATAGCATAATCAAGTCTAGACTTCAATATCCCCAAGAAGTGACTAATTCACACTGGTATTCACTGTTTTGACAACAAAAAAAAAACAAATAACAAAAATAGAACACAGAAATCCATGAATAAGGAAATGCTAAATACAATATTTGCACTCATTATCTTGAATGCTACTAGTGTGCATATTCAAAAGTGAATGGAAGAAACACATGCTGATGGTACTGAACTGAAGGCCTAAAGCTGACGATTATAATGGTGCTGGTTCCCATTGTCTTAACTTCCATTCTTAGGTTTTAAACTATTCTCTTCCTCTCGACTTCTTTCTTTCCTTCCCTATTTAATACTTCCTCCACTGCTGTACAATGATTTCCCTTCTCTTCTTCTTCATACCCACCTCTTCTCTTATAACTTAAGCTTGTTTCTCTCTCTTTCTGTTTGACACATATAGCACACAGCTCACACATTGCTCCTTTTAATTATTTCCCTCTCTCAACGTCTCTTATCTGAAATGTGTTCTGTCTGCATCAAATAATTATTTTCATTTGTTCATTACAATTTTTATCTCTAATGCCCTCACCTTCATTAATGTACCTTTCTAGTCCCGAACTAATTCCTTCTCCTCCTCCTTCTTCTTCTTCTTTGAAGTTTATGCCATCTGCCCATGTAAACCAGCTTTTCTATGTGTTGCTTTCATCTATCACCTCTCCATAAACACCCTGGCCTCCTCTTCTTTTCTTTTTTTCTGGCATGCCTACTCTCATTCTTAGTAATCCCACTTGTCAATCATGCCACTCTGATGCCTCCAGAGTCCTCTCTATGACTATGACTTTTGGTCCAATGGCTTATTCCACATACACCTTCAGGGAATTCCCTAATATTAGTCTAAGGAGTCCTTCATTGATCTAGTTAGATGCACCAGTAGAACACCATCACAATTTTTAGTTTTCAGTTCTCATTGGCAATGATGATTCATGTTAGTCTTTATCACTAATCATTACCTTTTTATCTTAGAATCCAATGAGGAAGAAAGTTCACAAAATATAGCTTTACTATAAATCTGTCTCTGATGGAAACAGGATTACAGTTCCATATTTTATGTACCTGGGTACAGAATCCTGTTTTAGTTGCGTATCCTGTCAAAAGAAAAAAAACACCAGCCTAATGCATTTAGTAAGAAATTTGTCTTTAGCCTTTATTTAATGCTAGCATTCTTCCAAAAATCAAACCCCTTCCACATTTCCTGGCTAGGCAATGGTTGGCTTAATTTAAGGCGGTTAAAACATCTGCTCATCTGCTTTCCAGCCACATGTAAAAGCTGAGTGATTTCTGTGTGGCAGCCAAAGAGGGAAATAAATGGTCATGTTAGTACTTTACCAGAGGAGGGGAAGCAAGGCATGTAAATGAGCAAGATTAGAATGCTACAGATGTGCCAATATTCACACCTGCCTTCCCAAATTGCTTGTCTCTTCTCTTACTCGCTTGGGTATTTAATTCTTGCCAAAAGAAAAAGTTATTAGAGAAAAGCAAATTATGCATCTCTTTGTCAAACTGTTGTTAACTCACATTATAAAATGTCATTTAAAAATACTTTTGCTATTTGGATTTGGCTAAGGTTCGAAGCAGTGTGCTGGTTCCACAATAGAATGCCTTCAGTCCTCAGCTTTAAAAATAAGAAGACATCACAACTATCATCCATTGCAGAAGAAGGGTCATTTTTTACAATCTTGAGCCATACCAGGGGCAACATTCCCTGGAGTTAACGGGCAACCTCAATTCCAGAGACCTCAAAGTTAGATGTATCAAAAGATGTGGTAACATGCTCCAAAGAGAATGTGCTCAGCGTTTCATCTCTCTTGGTTAGTTGCATATTGTCCCAAGAACTATAATTTAGAAAGAAAAAAAAAACAATTCTTGTTATTTCAGTATTAATAATAATGTAAATGTATTTAAGCAAACAGTCTTGGTGTAATCCCATGCAGTTTTGTAAAATCAATAAGAAATAACTAGGATCAATGAGTAAGAAAAACACAAGAACAGAATGTGACGGCAGATAAGAACCATTCGGCCCATCTAGTCTGCCCAATTTTCTAAATACTTTCATTAGTCCCTAGCCTTATCATATAATTAGGATAGCCTTATGCCTATCCCACGCATGCTTAAACTCCTTTACTGAGTTAACCTCTACCACTTCAGCTGGAAGGCTATTCCATGCACCCACTACCCTCTCAGTAAAGTACTTCCTGATATTTTTAAACCTTTGCCCCTCTAATTTAAGACTATGTCCTCTTGTTTTTCTTCTTTTAAATATAGTCTCCTCCTTTACTGTGTTGATTCCCTTTATGTATTTAAATGTTTCTATCATATCCCCCTGTCTTGTCTTTCCTCCAAGCTATACATGTTATGATCCTTTAACCTTTCCTGGTAAGTTTTATCCTGCAATCCATGAACCAGTTTAGTAGCCCTTCTCTGAACTCTCTCTAAAGTATCAATATCCTTCTGAAGATACGGTCTCCAGTACTGTGTACAATACTCCAAGAGAGGTCTCACCAGTGTTCTGTAGAATGGCATGAGCACTTCCCTCTTTCTACTGCTAATACCTCTCCCTATACAACCAAGCATCCTGCTAGCATTTCCTGCTGCTCTATTACCTTTAAGTCATCAGAAATAATCACCTCTAAGTCCCTTTCCTCAGATGTTGAGGTTAGGACTCTACTCAAATATTCTGTACTCTGCCCTTGGGTTTTTACGTCCAAGATGCATTATCTTGCACTTATCCACATTAAATGTTAGTTGCCACAACTCTGACCATTTTTCTAGTTTACTTAAATCATTTGACATTTGGCTTATCCCTCCTGGAACATCAACCCTGTTACATATCTTAGTATCATCAGCAAAAAGACATGCCTTACCATCAAGACCTTCTGCAATATCACTAATAAAAATATTAAAGAGAATGGGTCCAAGTACAGATCCCTGAGGTACCTCACTGGTGACAAGCCCAAGCTTTGAATATACTCCATTGACTACAACCCTCTGTTGCCTGTCACTCAGCCACTGCCTTACCCATTCAACAATATTGGAATCCAAACTTAAAGATTGCAATTTATTGATAAGCCTTCTATGTGCAACAGTGTCAAAAGACTTACTGAAATCTAGGTAAGCAATGTCTACTGCACCACC